CACAGCCACACCTGAAAATAATAAAATTAACCACTGGACACATACGCAAACAACTGAGAAATACTCATACAAAGACAATGAGATCACCAGTCACACATTTAGTAACTTCAGAACAACTCATTGGCAGTATGCGTGGTGCAGCCCAGCCACAGACCAACGAAGTGAACCACACTAACAGACATACCCGCGTACACCCACATGCACCTCAGCAGTGGATGTTGGTATCAGGCCTTGAGCGAATGTTTTGCTGTGATAAGTATCAGAACGGCTTAACATCAATCTTGTGCACACAGCTATAAATACACACGTATTGGTAAACAGGCATATACACCTACGCACAGCACTCGTCATCCAAGACACAAAACATAACTCCCACATACGCGAACGCACCTCTACTGTGGATGTCATGCCAGGGCTCTCTTGGGCCGTGTTCAGCTGTAATGAGCGGCCATACATTGTGAAAGTCACCCTTGTGCACACCCTGCAATGTGTGGTAGATGGGATGGGTGGGCGTATCGTACCTGGCAGGACACAGGTAAGCATAAGAGAAACGAATCAGTCTATGTAATGCATAGTTGGTAAATAGAATGGGTATGCGGTCCATGCTCACCATCGTATTGGTCAGAATAAAAGGCACGTGTGAAGTTATGCATATGATTGATTATAGTTATTTGGATATATATACATATATACATACATACATACATACATACATACATCGCACACACACACACATATATATATATATATATATTATATGAATATATAAATGCATACATACATACATATATACATACATACATAAATACATAAAATACATACATACATAATATGCACTGGTATCAAGGTAAACACAGGAAACACAGGTAAGGCCTACGCAAAAACGCGGTGAATATCAGGGATTTGAAAACCATAACTGCCATTGGGTGGACAAACTGACCAAATAAACATACAGCATACTGCAAACTACGAACGACAAACGTGATTAGTCATCTACGGACATGTTTTGCTCTATATACATTATTTCCATAGATGTCACCAAAATGGCGCATGTGTGTATTCACATACATCAGCACATAGACAATTAAAATAGACAGTAATCAATACATATGTATGACAACACACCAAACGCACCAAAAACACTTGTATGAAACCACACTGAAATATGTATGTAGCACCCTGCAACACAGACATGTACCGTGGTCCGTGTGCGAATAAAAGGTGAAGTTACCTGCCATCACATAGATCGAGTCCACCCATGTAAGAAATGGTACGGCGTCTACCAGGCAAGTGGCTGGGAGCGTCCATGATCACAGACTTCTGGTGGTGCGTGAAGCAGAACTGCGTGAACTTACCGTGCGAGTGGTACCGGGAGGCCAGCTTGCACTTAACATTCTCTGTAGGGGATAGTTGAAGCATATAGTAACAAAACTTTAACACATAAAAATGTATATACACTTGGTTATACACATAAAACTATGCAGATATAGGCACGATGGCCCTGCGACTTGCATCGTGATATATGCTTGCGTTTCCAGTTCTCTCGAGGAGAATTAAGGAGTTCGGGGCGAATGAAAATGTATATACATCAAGTACACTGCGTTGAACGCAGAACCGGGACTGGGTGAGAATACCGTGCTAGTTATAGAGAGATACGAGTATACTAATCACGTTCTGTGTGTGGATAGTAGATAGGCTGGGGGCAAGTGATTTGTGGATGCAGTGATGTATCTACACTTGATACACTCGGTATGGTTAATTTAAGAGGGGGATTTAACTGTCGGTTCATTTAAGAGGGGGATATAACTGTCTGTTAATTTAAGAGAGGGATATAACTGTCCGTTAATTTCAGAGAGGAATATAACTGTCTGTTTATTTAAAAGGAGAATATAACTGTCTGTTAATTTGAGAGAGGGATATAACTGTCTGTTGATTTAAGAGGGGGGTATAGCTGTCTATTAATTTAAGAGGGGGATATAACTGTCTGATAATTTAAGAGGGGGATATAACTGTCTGTTTATTTAAGAGGGGGATATAACTGTCTGTTAATTTAAGAAAGGGATATAACTGTCTATTTGAACAACAAGAGAAGACGGCAAGTTGACAATATTGGCGCTCGATAAAGCAACGGATGTCGTCAATCGATGATCCCCAGTTAAGAGTGTTATGTATACAGACTGGTACAGATTATCAACTACTTTCGTCCAATCCCGTAAGTGGGTAGGCACCAGAACAACATTTACAAGCAAACACCCCAGAGCCACTGAACTCCAGCACGGACTTCCAGTTTGTTAGTATTTCCCCCCTCAGGGAACTCACACACGCACACTGACTCGAACTTCCTCTCTGTTTTGTTTTTTGTTTGTTTTCGCTCACTCCGAACACTCACACACACACAGTCAGCCTGACTCACCCATATCGGCGAAGTATATATTGGTCTCCTCGTCATGAGTGCCCATCATTCCCTCCAATTCCACCTTGCCGCCTTTTTTGGTCGTCTTCTCATTCCACACCAGCATGCACACCTTGACGCCTTCGCCCGCCTTTTTCTTAATGATCTCACCCAAAGTGATAGGGGCCACACCCTCACCCCTGACCAACACTACTTCAGTCCACACAGACCACCCTGTCGGTATATAGTGTGTAATTGAAAGTGAGACAATCGATCGCATGATTGTATCTGTGCACGTGCACACGATTGCTTGAAAGAGGACAAGATATAGTGGTTTTAAGTGTGTACGGAGTGCCTCTGGACCACTTCCGGTCCACACAGGCCGTCCTGTCACTATACAGTGTATACTTGAATGTGGAGTAATCGATCGTGTGGTTGTGTGAGAGCACACATGTGGGGATGCATCAAGATATATATGGATTACAGGTATGTCTGTATAGAGCACTTCTCCGACCTTAGAAGAGCATCCTATCAATATACAGTGTATACATGCATGTGAGATGATTACTTGCAGGATTGTAAGTACATGTGCACGTGTACATGAACGATTGTAACGGACCGAACACTTGAGAATGTACATGTATCAGAGACCTAAATAGCTCTACATGATTGCTTAAACCTACCAGTGAACCAATATAGCTCCATATGATTGTTTTTACAGGCAGAATACATATAGACATGCACACTACCAGTGATTTGAATATTGCTCTATATGATTGTATATAAAGGTACACTTCATATTGACAAGTACACCTACCAGTGACCTAAATATAGCTCTATAATACTGCTTGCACAGGTACAATACATATTGACATGCACACCTACCAGTGACCTGAATATAGTCCTACAATATTGCTTGCACAGGTACACTACATATCGGCATGCACACCTACCAGTGATCTAAATATAGCCCCAAATAATTCAACGTACAGGTACATTACATAATGACATGCACACCTACCAGTGACCTGAATATAGCTCTATATGATTGCTTGCCCAGGTACACTACATAGGGGCCCGCACACCTACCCGTAATATATGTCTGCTTGTAAAGTATACTATATATGTGCATGCACGCGTACCAGTGATGTAGATGAAGCTCTCCGCCGCCATCAGGTGGTCGTACAGTTCCATCCAGCACTTGCCGTGTGCGTATGTTTTACCATCTGAGCGCGTGATCACCGGCAACTCCCCCTCCTCATGATGCGCGTCTTGGTACAGATAGCACTTGCCATTCTCGCGCATAGGGAAGTACGTATCAGGTACCTCGATGTCGTCCTCAGAGTCCGTATAGTGGATGGACAAGTGTATCTCCCCACGGCTTTTATCAGCATCGGCTGGGTACGGGTACGGTGAGACGAAAAAGAAAGCTGATTGTAAGCTATGTATGCGTAGATACAAGTACATGGATACACGAGTACATGGACACATGAATACATGAATACATGAAAGCTTACAAGTGTGTGTAGGTATGTGTATGTGTAAGTGTATGCGTATGAGTATGCGTATGTGCATGTGTATGTGTAGGGGCAGCACTTACTGCTCTCGCGCAAGCATGCGTGTCTGGTATCACCTTGCCATCATAGCAATCTACCATAATCCGCATTGAGATGGACAAAGACAGATTTGATTGGGTGTGCATAGCCTCATGTATTCTATATACGCAGACATATTTATGTATACTTGACGTATCAAGATCAATAAATCTTATAATGGTATCGGCTTGGTATGGTTGTGAGTACACATGTCGAGTCGTAGGTGTGTATGAGTTTGGGAGTAGCCTCGTCAGTGCAGATATGAATGTATACATATATATACACGTACAACAGTGTGTAAATACATACTAATCTGCTTAGATCTAATCACACAGATTTAGGCTCACCTTCTTTCTCACTAACTTACAAAAAGTGCATGCATACAAATCTCCACAGATCTGTATACACGGGTATGGCCTCACCTTCCTCCTCTCTAATTTACAATATGTTCGTGCATATGAATCGATAAAGATCTATACACACAGGTTTAGACAAACCTTCCTTCTCTCTAACTTATTGCTTATGTACACATATGAATCTATATAGATGACACTTTCCTCCTTTCTAATTTACAATATAGGCATGCCTACGAATCTATATAGATCTATACCCACAGATATAGAAACACCTTCCTGCTCTCTTACTTACAATATTTGGATACCCATGAATCTACACAGATCTGTACACACAGATCTGTACACACAGGTATAGACGCACTTTTCTACTCCAAAATTACAATAAGTATATGAATATGAATCTATATAGATCTATAGAAACGGATGTAAACATACCTTGTTTCTTTTTACTCTCCGCCAGTGGAAACCATCCCTTGATCTTATCGCCCTTCAGCAAATCTGCGGCATCAATAACAACATAGCCCAAGGTGTCTACGCCAATCAAATCACTGTCTTTGATCTTGAACACAACATCCTCCATATCCATGTTGATCTGAAAAAGGACGAGAAGGATATATATGGATTGGCCAAAAATGCCTTTTTTTATGCTGAACACAAGACGAATGTATCAATAGGGTTAGAAGATAACAAACAGGAAGACACATACACGTACGAATACACTATAAATATATATATATATATATATATATATATATACACATACACACACACACACACATATATATCTATATATACTTATATATTCATAAATTTGTACAGGCACAGACACAGGCACAGACACAGGCACAGACACAGACAATTAGAATACATATCTACATCTACACACACACAAACATACATATCTTTATAAATATATTCATTTACATGTGCATTTACACATATATACACAAACATACATATCTTTATAAAAATATTCATTTACATGTGCATTTAAACATATATACATATACATACATATCTACATAAACATACGTACACACACACATACATATGCCCATACGTACATACATGCATCCATAGATAGACACACACTGATATTATATATATATATATATATATATATATATATATGTATATATATATTATATATATACTATACATACATATATATATACTATATATATTTTATACACACATATATATATACTATTTATAAATAGTATATATACTATATATATATATATATATATATTGCGAGTAACCTATTTAGTTCACCAACGGTTTTAGAGTGAATAGCCTTATACTTTATATCACCAAAGTAGTGTAATCGCTTACAAGGTATTGAGGACTGATCAACCCATAACCTTGTCCTATATAGTCTTGACTAGATATTGCCTTTCGCTGACACAACATCCCTCCGAGTGCCCCGTCTCCTCTGTAGTCCGTCACTCGTCACCTATATATCTTACACTACTTTACACTTCTCGCTACCTTACAGTTTGCGTCTTGTGCTATTGGCCCCACACGTAGCGAATCAGCTGTTTACATAAAACCAACACCATAAGACGCACAACACCGTCCCTTCACCCTAAAACTAACCCCTCCTACACCCGAGCCATCAAGCATGACTCAGTAATGCACATGAGTCATCAAAATGGCTCACTACTACACGTGAACCACACATACTTTGCAATATATATATATATATATATAAACAGACACACAGACACAGACACAGGCACATACACAGACACAAACACAGACACACACACACACACATATATATATATATATATGTATATTTATATACTTATTTGCACAGTCACAGACAGAGACACAGGCAGACATATATATATATACATACATACATACATACATACATATGCATATATATGCACACATACTCACATACATATCTATAAATAAATACATACATACTTACATTTTAAATAGAAACACATATATATAGATACACACAGGCACACACAGACACAGTCACATTTAGACACAGACACGACACAGACACATACATACATACGATTATATATATGTACACACACACATACACACACCCATATATATATATATATTTATATATATA